TATGTAAGCGCGCAGCGGTGCTGTGTGGCTCATCGCTGAGGTGGTGGAGCGCTTTTGTCCCAGGTGGTAATCCGCTCGCTCTAAATGTCAAAACAAGGCTAGATTATCTCCACATTTGAGAGTGAAAAAATGTTGGTAATGCCTAGCAGCCCGGTCTTTTGTTCCGAGTACGGTCTTTTGTTACAAGGCCCTGTTCCCTTTGTTCGAGTTCGGAGACCACGGCCACACAAATAAAGCATACGTGTCCGGATCCGGAATCCCCTGCAGGAAGTGGTTAAGTGAACTACTGCACGACACACTGACAATAAATTACTAAATGTACGTATATGCACATACTTTTCAACAACTCCAACCAAGACCTTGCTTTCTTAGCAAGTCTTTAGCAAGACTTGAATTCTGCATGGCATCCTAGGTATTGCAACACAGCCACTGAATGATTTGCATGCGGGTAAATATTTTCTTATCAACATGGCATTTTTTTTCGGGATTTAAATTTTTAAAGGCATGTTCCTTGCTCTACGGATGCACAAACAGCTGATGCAAGAAAAATAAAAATTATACACTTACTGTCATTATCAATGCCCGGCGTGACCTTCTTTCTGTCTCTGGTATTTCTGTCTGCTTTGCTTTTTAGTGCTATCTTTTGCCTGTTTGATTTTCTTTCCTTCTGTCTCCTGAGTAAATCCTTGATCTGTTCTTTCCCTGAAAGTCTCTTGGTTTTCTGCGAGACGCCTAGCCCGGATGCACCAGCCTCATCCCTTGCAGGTGAGGCAATTCGGTCATCCTCCTCACTGGTGTCACCATCTTCTGAACTGGACAGCTCGTAAAATCTCCGCAAGTGTTTGTTGGATGTCAGGTTAACAGGACGCCCTCGCTTGTCCACCGAGTATTTCAGTTTGAAGTTGTCGTCCTCGAACATTCCTCGGAAGCGCCTGTCAATTTTGATCTTGCGTGCCTGCTGGGAGATTTTCCGGAAGCGAGGGTCATGGCTGATAACAGCAAAGCNTCCCTTTGGTGTTTCAAAAGTTTCACTGCAAAAAATCAAATAGAGGAATTTGATTTGAAAAAATTGATGTAAAATATTAGGAATTTTTGGGTAACTAGGGACGAGTTACAATCATGTGCCTCTTGCCCCAGGTTGGCTGCTTATTTCATTACACCATGAGGTAATCAGAAAAATCGGATTATGTTTTTAGCGTCAACAAGTGTCAACTAGCATCAACAATGCGTCAACAAATTATTCACGTATACTTATGCAAAACAATTACATTTATAACATTAATTGGGCATCTACATATCATATTCAATGTATCACATTTATCTAGAATGATACATGTATTTAGTGTGGAAATTTAAGTGACAAAGTTCGTTCTGTTTGAGCAGCCAAACCGGCCGCCATCTTGTTTTGCGTGGAAGGCTGGGAAAAGAAAGATGGCGGCCCCCATACATCGCGAAAATTTTCATTTTCCTGCATGAATCTGGAATAAAAATTTCATGTTTTCCTTACACAGTAGAACATGTTACAGTATGTAAAACACGATAAAACCACTTTGAAACCTTTAGAGGATGTTTTCAAGTTGTTGATGCATTGTTGATGCCACTTGTGTGTGTTGACGCTAAATAGCGCGACCAGAAAAATCTGCTGGGGGCATTAAGTATTATCAGTTCATGCAGCATTTGGAAAGAGTTCCATATATGAGCAACACTAACTTTCCCTTTAAATGTTAGAACAGCCATCAGTGTGACAACATGTAAAAAAAAAATTTAGCTTACAACATTCGACTTTGTTTGAAAAATATGAAACCTTTCCAGGATTTTGCACCATTCAGAGTGTAGCATGTGCAGGCCAACTTCCTTTTGTTTGCTGTGTTGATGGAGGTTGCTTTTAATTTAAAACCTGTCAACATGGTAAACACCGCGTTTGGGTACCTAGGGCAATGTAAGGGAAGGAGGGATTTTAGAAGGTACCAAACTGACACATTCCCACTTTAATATCATGTTAAACAAAAGGTGGCAGGGGACATGAGCGACTACCCCCAGAACTTTGGGGTCCGACGTCCGCCCCGCCCCCATTTCGTGGGAGCGGGGTGGACGTCGGGGACATGGGGAAATGAGCGACAAAACTCAGTCAGCTTTCAGCCATGTCAGCTGGCCTTTGGCCAATGCCATGGAAAATAAGCTTGAATTTTATGATAGCCCACCCATGCAACATGCGTAACCCCAAGGCTTGATGAACAGCACTAATCTACTCAAAGTTATAAAACCTTTTTCAACATGTTAATTAATGATAATTTTCTGATACTACGAAATGTGTGTCGGAAATAAACGTCCAATCCTAAAGCGATGCGCAAAAAAAAATTGTGCTAGCCTACTTTGCCTGACAAATACTGGCCGAAAAGGTTATGCCTACTCACCGATTAGAATTTAAAAATGTAGAAGTGTTGCAATTTAATTGTTGTTTGACGATTCAACTCTTTGCTGTTCATAAAATCTGCTCCTACCAAAAAAAAGGATAACCAATGAATGACCAATGCATGCATAAAAGTAGAAAATGCGAAAATGCGTAATAATACCATAAAGCAAGGAACGGCATGTGCACGTGTAGGGCCGGCTGGGCCTGCGCAAAAAATGTTCTCCACTTGTCTCATCTGGCGCCCTCCATGATCTACACAGGAGAATCGACGGCAACCGGGCAAACTTGTGATGAACACAAAGGCGGCTTGTTCTCGTCGTTCATACACGAACAGCTCGATTTGTTGTTCGAGGGGAACGCCGGGAACGTACAACCGGTCGTCACTCGTAGTTGGTGGCAAGCAACATGCAACGGCGGAGTCCATGTCCATGTTAATGTTTGGATAACTGGGACAAATTCTTTTCCATTTAAAATTGAAAATGTTATCGAAAATTATTAATGTTAATTTTGCAAAACTTTCCATTGCCTCTGGCTTTATACGCCATCTCGCTAGTAACTGCAGCTGTTCAAAATTCAGAATCTCGCGAGTTTTTCCGCCCATTCCTGTGCAACCCCAAGAGGAACTGGATTGCGATCCTGTTCCGAGAACAGTGTTCTTTAGTCGTGTTCCCGCTCTTCGATCGCGAGAACAAGCCTTGAAACCCGTGTCAAGAACAGGCCGCCCGAATTCGACCAAAGAGAGATATACCCAGCAAGAAATGAGACCGAGGGGTACCCCCCAACATGTCCAATCCCTATACACATTCCAGACTATTGTTACTNCGGGGGGGGGGTGGCGGGGCACGTGCCCCCAGGTGCGCCCCCCCACTGAAAAAAAAGCATGAATGGATATTGAGCAAGGCTTACAACAACCCCCCCCCCCAAAAAAAACCCGCACCACTTAAGGCTGCGGGTGCCCCATCTGTTTCCAAAATCCTAGCTATGCACGCCACTGGACACAATTCTTTATGTACAGTTAATGTGGGAAATTAACTATTATCAATCCTGTCCAACAGCTTCAGGGAAATCAAGACAGGTCCCATGCAACGAAACAACCAAAACCTATATGACGTTCTGTTTTTCAGCACAAAACCTGCCCTGGTGGAAAATATTGTACGACTCTTATGGGTGTACTCCACTAATTCAAGCCCCCATTGAAAACAGTGTAAAATCAACATTCGTCATTGCTCAATAACATGCAAGCCAACATCCCTGAGGTTTCTCAAATAGAAATTCAATTTCTTTTCAACTTTTTTTTTGGGGGGGGGGGTTAACCAATGAAATTTTTAATTATTCACACGCACAAAAAAACCAAAGGGGAATTTCACGAACTCCAACTAATAGAATATTTGGCAACCCTCAACTATCTTTGGGACTCAGGATCATTTTCAACTATCTTTTTCAGCCATTCTGCTCTCAGATGGACATGGAAGCCCAAAGACCCATGAACTTGATCCTGGCAAGAAACTTACACAATCTCACAATTTTGGGGGCGAAACAATCTCCTTTTTCAAAAGAAACTGTGGGCAAACTTTTGATTTGAACTGGCTAGGAATTCTCACTTGAATGATTAGTAGACTGCACCCTTTAAGAAATATCGGGGTACGAGTATAGGCCAGCATGGCCTTATCCACAAGCAAAGGATTTACATGTACATGAATTTCGATTATCAAAGAAATGTCACAAAATGCACAACGTTTGTCTCTAGGTTCCGTAATATCTCCTTTCAGAAAACTGTATTCAATGATTTGGGTAACAGCCGATAGCCACTCTGGAAAAGGGCACGTTTAAAAGTTGCAACAAACAGTCCAAATAGACCCTAGCCAAGAGCAGATATCAAGGGAGTTTAGAATCTTGTACATGTACATAAAATCTATAATTGCCGATACAGTTCCTTTATACTCTCCATACAAGTTGTTTCTGAAAAATTATCACGTGCCATATTTTTTTTACTATTTCGTAATATATCTTTCATTCAGCATTACCACACGCTTTTCTGCATTCATCCAGCAATCTGCTGAATACTGGTTTGTAACATTGTGTATAAAATGCTTGCATCCAAATGATGAAGGATCAACATCGTATCATTAAAATGACACCCTCGTCACTGGCATTATGTGATGCAACGATGTGTAATACCTGTAAAATAATTTCTTGGTCCAGCCTTACATTTCGAATTCATATTGGCTTCAGCAAAAACCATTAACCCTAACACTCCTCAATCCTTCACCTAGAGGACTGAGGACTGTTAGGGTTAATTTTCATTTACAGGCGCTCAATTTCACACGATTTTGTCGATATCATACTGGGGATTATCAATTTCAGTTTAAAACTGACCCATTTTAGTAAATCTATTTCGACTACACGGCATTCTAATCTCTATTTTCACCACCACTTAGGTATTAGTTAAATCTCTACTAACTGTTTGAATTGGTGCCATAGGAATCGTCAAAGCTCAGGGGACTTTCAATCCTTGAGTGCTTTTACTTTATTTATGGTAGGCCTAAACGTAGATCTATCTCAAGCTGTGAGTTTCGAAGTTACATGCGGATTATTCTTTTTTAGAATGGTACAACTTTTTCAAATGCTCTTTAACAATATGCATGATTCCTCATTACAATTGTCTAACTTGAAAAATGTCCTTTTTATTACAATACTCCCTTTTTCTAAGCTGTTTTACGTTTAATTCAAACGAAACCGATGAAGGATATTCGTCTGCTGAATATGCTCCTGGTAAGATGCAATGTTCTTCGACTAATTCTCACCATTTCGAATAAAAACTTAGCAGAGGCAGAAATAAAAGCAAAGCCACTGTTTTAATCTGTAAACCCAGCGATGCAATTACGAATCACTAAACATAATGCTGGAGATAACCTATGGGTTGTGACTCAATTATAGAGCTATAAAACTATGGGCTTAATATTGAGCCTACAAGAGCACGTGTATAATGACTGGCACCAAAAATGATAACCATAATAAAATGCTTTAAAGAAAATTTCCGGTCATCGAACATAATTTTCACGAGACCAATATAACCGCTTAGTCAGTGGTGAAAAAAAGAACCACAACAGGCCATAAGTGGGGTAAAAATAATATTAAAATAATGACGAGATCGATTAAAAAACCACAACAATGCGCACGGCGCCCTCAGCCCAAACCGCAGGCCTCTCCACGGCACTGGCCGACTGTGGCGACACAGCGGCGCTCTGCTTTAACGCCAGCATCAATCTTCCGTGTTTTTCCCAGCCACACACGACTCATAACACACAAGTTGCCCAATATGGCTGCCATTGAAGTTGTGAACTCCCCGTGTGCTTAAGGAAGTCACTTGGAATTTATAAGTGGATTTCTCCGCGCCTTGACGGCGATGTTTGTGATAAATTACAGCCGACTGACGGTAGTAGAACCTCCCTGATCTTGCTCGCTAGTTGCTGCTGGCGGCACGAATTTCAGCGATGCCGCTTCAACAGAAGGAAAAACGGTGGGTAATTTTCTCTTGTGTATCATGATCCCACGCATTGAATTTTGTATACACCACACCTGGCGTTCAA